AGTCATTAGTTGTCTTCACTGAGCCTGATGAAGAGGCTTCAGTGGATTTCTTCACCTTAGTTGTTTTTACAACCTTAGTGGCAGATTTCTCCTTGGTATATTTCTCAGCCTTGGCTACTTTCTTACCCTTGGCTAGAGGACTAGCCTTGGCGGTAGAAGGACATTTGCTGGCAATATGTGTAGTTTCACCATAGTGTCTACACTTCCTATAGCTGAAACTAGCTTTAGGGCCATAAAGTACCAGAGGAGAAGAGGGACAAGCTCCAAGGATTCCCTTCTCATTTGTTCTAGGATGAACAACTGAGGATTTGGAGTCCTTAGGTGAAACATTTATCTTGAGCTTAGACTTAGATTTCTGAGAAGATTCGGATATCTTGATCCTTGAGGAAGAAGAAGGTGCACAAGCTGAAGGAATAGATCTTGATCTATGTTACTTGTCAGCCTTCTTAGGAAGAGGTGCTATGACAATGGACTTACCTTTGTCTTTGCGACTTGAACTCAAAGGAGTTCCTTCAAGAGGACTCTCGATAAAAGAAGACTGAGAGGAAGAAGTATCAGGAATAGAAGAGACGAAAATACCAAACTTGAGCATGGACCTGTCAATGACACTATCTTCCTGATCATAGGAAAAGCCTAGACCAGTCTTAATCTTGGAGGGAATATGAGCATTAATGATCTCAAAGGCTTTGACAGAGGCTTTGCACCATCCTTCAATGGTAGTCAGCTTTGAGTTCAGCAATAGCTTGCTCACGCTCAGCTATAGCCTGTTCGCGCTCGATAGTGATGGTCTGGTTTACAATGACATGATCTTTAAGATCTTCTTCGATCTTAGTTAACTCTTTGATCTTAGAATGACAAATCTTCAACTGGTCTTGAAGATCAGGATTAAGCTTTTATGCTTTTGATTTGCCATTTAAGGCATTATAAAGGTCTACCATCAACGTATCTAACGCTGATAGGCTAGAAGAAAAAGAAGATGGTTAATTCAGGAAACATACCTGAGCGAGAGAGGATGATGAGGAATCACTCGAGGTTGATCTCTCAGAAGTTTCTTCCTTGACATCCTTGGCCACTAAGCAGAGGTAGGTTGTATCTTCCTCATCTAAGGATGATTTGTCAGACGAATCAGCCCACTCATGTTCTTTAGCGACAAGACCTTTGCCTTTTCGCTGAGAACTCTTCATCTTCTAGTACTTCTCCTTCAACTTCAGATATTTATCGTCTTTGGCTCTGAAGAAGGATAGGGTTTTTGAAGATGGCGTCGCAGTCTTCTTTGACCTACATTCACTTGCAAAGTGACCTTTGCATTGACAGTTGTAGCAGATCGCTGAAGCCTTGTCAATAAAATCTGACTTTGGCTTATCCTTAATGGTCAGCGAGAGAGATCTGTGGAAGTTACTTTTTCTGGAAAATCTTCTAAAAGACTTCGTTAGAAGAGCTAGTGACCCATCAAAGTCTACAAGATCAGACTCTGACAAATCCTCAGAGTTAGTGGAATCTAACTTCGTTAAAGAAACATAAGAAGAAAGAGGAATATAAGAAGAAGATGGGAGTTCAACTAAAGAATCTTCAGATATCAAAGCTTACGAAGAGCTTTTCATATGTCTAGAATCTTTGATTAGATTCCTCTTCAGTTGTTGAGACTGCTCGTGATTGGGCAGTATCCCATAAAGAGAGCTTAGAGAGAGGGAGGAAATATCATTGGACATATGGAGACACATAGAATATGTATCCCAGGATTCGGGTAAACATTCTAGAAACTTCGTCAAAGTTTCAGAGTTGGAATATTCTCTGCCAACCGTCCTCAAATCAATAAAAAGACAATTAAATCTTTGATGTACTTCAGACAACGTTACATTCTTTCCACAGAGAAAGATTTCATATTGTCTTACTAGATTAATCTTCCTTGATTTATGTACTTGGAAAGTACCTTCATATTGAACACAAAAAGTGTCCCACGTGGATTTCGAGGTCCTAAGCTTCATCACAGAGTGATAGACCTCGTCGGAAGAGTCGTAGCTATTATAGATATCGTTCGAGTATCTATAGCCACCCTCTTCTTGTCTTCATCACTCCACTGATGAGGGAGCTTAGGGATCTGCCGTTCAGGAATCGCGGCTGTCATAGCTGTTTCAGGATCAACCGGAGATATAACATATGAAACATAAGGTCCATTCTCTATATAATGTGGGATCTCAGGATCCACACCTTCCAAGAARAGTGACATCCGATTTTTCCAGAGACTAAAGTTGTCTCTTATAAATCGGGGAGGTTTGGCAAGGGAGCCATTATTGTGAAAGTTTGTGCTCGTGTTTTTCAAAGCCATTTGAAAAGCAATAAATTATCTAGAGAAGAAGAGATAATAAAATGCAGAAAACAACTAAACAAGATGAGAAGAAAACACTACTCTAATACCACTTATTGGTTCCAGTCGGGTCTACAAGAGCTTTAGACGAACAAAAACACAGAAAACTTTCATATTTAAAAATATATATTGATAAAGAAGGATCAATACATATTTTTTGTAGATTGTTTGCGGAAATAGAAAAGGTAAAGATAACCTATCTAATACAATCTTAAGATTACACACAAATATACTTAGCAAATAGAAATTATTTGCCGAAAAGATAAAGACAGAAAGACGTTCTTCTTGGGTAAGAAATTTAGAATTCTTGTGAGAGATTCTAACTTACTTGAAGATAAGAATATGTGTTCTTTTGATAGATGTGTGATATCTCTTGCATGACGAGAGCACTTAGCTATTTATACCCATTCCATTAAATGCAAATCAGAAGGGTTGGAACACAAGTCAAGCTTTAAGAGGAAAGTTTGTTCTTTGCAACAGTGAATAGTACATTTATCTATTTATGAGCAGACATCCTTTCGTGGAGTTGGTGGGCACTATAGTCGACTAGTCGGCTCCGTGTAGTACTATACTCTTGAAAGGGTATGGGTTTGTCCTTTGTGTATGGAAGGACAAAACAAAAACAATCGTGCATGGCAAGCTTCATTTGATCGCTGAATGCTGGAATAACGTTGGAGGTCTCTTCAGCATTCACTGAGGCTTGTGCAGTCTTCACACATATGTTGACCAGGTTGTAATCACTGAATACCGCTTCAGATCACGAATGCGCCAGTCACTAATCTTCAATTTCAGTCTTCGACAATCACTAAAGGTTCTTTAGTGTGAGGTTTGTCTTCTTGAAGTATCGATGTCGCTGTAGGATTTACAATGCGTGTTTCAACGATCACTGAACAGATTCAGTGATGATCGCTGGAACTGAAAGGACATAAACACTAATACTTCGAAAGGTAAAAGGGATTATCATCAAATCAATGAGAGAGATGATCAACATTGACTCTCTAAAAGATCCCTTGAGGAAAAAACAAATATTCCAACATATATAAAGGAGAAATGGTCCAAGTCTAATCGATGAGAGACTTCAACCCGTCCCTTACAATGGAGGATGGCACATATTGCTCCAAAGTGTTGAGAAGGGGCTTGAAGGATGAGGGGCCCAAGCGAGTACATAATTCCTAGACTATCGAGTCCATAGGGCTTAACAACTTCATATATCTCCCATGGTTATCTAAAGTTTTGACCTCGTTGAACGCTTCACATTAAGGATCTTTTTATGCCGACATACCGGGATCCAAATTATCCGGAGCATACACAACCGCATAACAATGACTGGGATCCAAAAATGCCTTTCTCCTTTCATTACCATTTTGCAAAGTCGCTTATCATAATTCCAATTTGATATGAGCAACGATGCACCAAATAAGGCAATTGATCCCACAACATATAAAGAGGTCGATTGTACTAGTATTCATGGCACTAGAAACTTTGATTTCATGTGTACCTTCCATTTTATCAAACATCCGGTGTGCACCAATTTTTCCCATTCAAATCAGTGAATGAATAGATCCAAAAGCATCCACAAAAACATTGTGTAAATAGCATGATTCGATACTAGTTGTTGGGATTTTTCCAAAACTAACACTTAATAAAGGTCCTAACTACTCAAAATATGTGTAAACGACCTAATAACTGATACATGAAAAGAAAATGGATAAATTTGATATACTATTTGTCATAATAACACATCAAATGAATAAAGTAATAATGTAACAACACAAACATATAATGAGGCTTCAAGACCTTTACAACCGTGTACGCCCTTCAAACATACCTAGGATGATGTATTAATTTCAAAAAGATGTAGATTACAACAAAATTCTTACCTGATTGATTACAAGATCCAAAGGTAAGCAATTAAACCTCACTACCTCAAAATAGAGATAAGAGACCATCACAAAATGTTTGTTATTAAAACCCAAATGATCTCACACAAACATTTATGCCACTAACATTGAGGGATAACTCAATAGGAAAATACAGGCTAAGGCTTTGGGATCCTCTATATAGGTCACTAGTTAGAATCTCCTTAGGGGTACTAAGAAATTTTCTGTTGTTATCTACATGCCCTAATAAAATTAGTCCAGATGCGCACATTTCTCCTGTACAAAGAAACATTTGAGTCATAATCTTCCTTTTACGAGCCTGATCCCATCTAGCAACCTCTATTAGTGACTGGTTATTGCTAGGAAAGTTTTCTCGGTCCCTTATCCCTTACAAACAATGTATATGTGTATTGCAACATATGGAGGCTCCAAGTTGTAAAAATTGTACCCAAGGCCTTCGTGTTCTCAAGTACTCACTACTTCACAATGGGAGGTCTCTGGTGACTTGGCCATTAGTCTTCAAAAGCAAGCAATGCATGCATGTGTGGTATGTGGTGTTCATGGGTTAGGTATCACAAATCAACTTATTTAAAAACTTCTAGGTTCGGAAAGACACACCAAAAACAAGAAAACCGTTATACCACAAATAAAGAAATTGAATGTACCTTTATATCATATAACCATATCTACAAGTGCCATTTCACAAACAAATTGCAATAAGAATCAAAATTGCAAACATAAATGATTGATTCAAGTAGACAAGGAAAAAGGAGGGACGTTCATAGCCTTATGAACAAAAAAATCTTAACTACATTTAATGTAATAAAAAAATAAACAAATTTACACTTCATAGTAACAAATATTTAGGCCTCAATAAGTTCAATGGTCTATAAAAGTTAACTTATTTATGTTTTCGAAGAATGTAAGTTAAAAGTAGCTCATTCCAAACATCTGGGACACCGGGAAGGCACCAATGTGTACAATCTGCATAACTTGAGGGGTTGGACAATTGTGTGTTCGTTAATGGAGAATAGTGCAACCTATAAATCGAAGGGTGCGCGTCTTTCCGATATTGTGTTAGTTGTGTAATATTAATCAATTGCACTTTTACCCCTTTTGCTTTCAACTTGTTTAGCGAAGACTCTAATATTTTAAACATTTTCAAATCGGACCCACTCTCCCAAAAGTCATCTTTTGTTATTGGCTCTGTTTCATTTAAACAGTTTTCATCACTTTTGCTGCCCCATTCTACGCCCCTGAACATAAATTTAGAATAAAACTATAAGTATTGGAAGTAGAAATGTAGTAAAAGAACCTAAATTTCAGATATATTACCTATGATGGGTTGCGGTCATACTAATGAAATATGATTGAGTCCTCGTATGGTTGATATGAGTATATAACCAATCAGACCATGTTTTCATAACCATCCTATAGCCACGATGATTATCGACTATGTTGTATTGTTTGGAATCTTCAGATGATCCATTTCTGACGAAAAATAATATTTTAGAATTCAATTATCAAAACTAGAAAACCTGAAGTCAGATGTATGAACTCACAAGATCTTTAGTGCAGGCGTCCTCCACCAAAGGTACGAGTTAAAAACTAGTACATCGACGTTCACCCAATTTTTTGCATGGTGCTCTATGGATTTGATTCGAACTATACGATCATTTGTCTTATGTTTCGTGGGATGGTCACCATTCGATTCCACCAAGAGCGGAGCCCAATAAAAGTCTATTGAAACATTATATTCCTGTACGGTTTTTAATATATATAAATATAACATAGAAAAAAATAATGACAAGAATATAAACTTGATAATCAACATGTACCGTATGTAGTAAAAGTTATAATACCATTCGAAAAATGACAATGAAAAAAAACGTAATTTTATGTTTTGATTAAATTACAAGGAAATTAATTAAAATAGTCATTTTTACCGGTTAGTTTCACATGTTAGCCAATTTTTACAAGGTTTACCAAAATACCCTAGATCTGCAAAAAAAAAAAAAAATTGTGGACCTTAGTGAAAAATGTAACTTTTTTTCCGGACAGGAGTAGAAAGTGTAATTTTTTTTGTCTTTTAGCTTGGTCTGCAATTAGGGACGTAAGTTTTACAGATTTATGGTTGTTTTGATAAACTTAAAAAAAATACTAAAAATGAAACCAAATCTGAAAAATAATTATTTTAATAAATTTCCTTAAATTATATACTTAGAATACAAAATTAATTAATTATATTATGTGTGACATTGGCATGGAGTCATCCAAGTCCAAAGCTATTTTGACCTCCTAGGAAGATAGCTCTCATAATTATATTAATTAAATTAAATTTTTATATTTTTAATTATTTTAACATTTTTTGAATCAATTTCTCTCAATATTTTACTCATTCATTTATAAATATTATAACTTGAAAATCTGAAAATGCAAGTGACACAATTTTTAAATGCACATGCAAAAAGTAGTGTGATAACTTTGTGTGATTTTGACCATTTTGTCATTTAAAGGAGTGATTTTTACTATTTTGTCCTCTATTGACAACACTACAAGAATGGTTATTCTTCTAAAAACATGATTCAATAAAATAAAATATTTTGTACCAATTTTATGTTGAAAATTTAAAACTAGAAAATATAATAATTTTTATGGATGATTTTTTGCTTACAAAGTTGTTATACTTAGCATTTTTTATTTATAAAATTATAAGATGTTGTTAATTAATCTATATTATATTATAAAATATTTTACAAAAACTCTTAAAAATCATCTTTTATGCATAAAATACTTTTTGTTGATGCATTATACTTAAAATTCAAGTAGACATCTTATTAAAACCTCATGTTTGAATTTGTATAACCAACTATAGATAAACAAAATTAAATACAAGATAAATATCTCATTTTAAGTATAAAAAATCTAAAATATAATTAGGATAAACAGGAAGTTCAAACACAATACTTAATTATTATTTTTATAAAAAGATTAGATTCTTAAATTAAAAACTTTGTTATTAAACTTAAATTAGATTATAATAAAAAATTTGAATTAAAGAAATTATAGAAGAAAAAATAATTTTTAAGGAAATTAATTTGATACTAATATCGATATATTTTTTTTCAAATTTTTATGATATCTTCAAATTTATATTTTATTCAAAAATAAACACATTTTCGTTTTCTCAAAACCATATAAAATTTGATTATAACCTAAATAGAGATAAAATAAAATGAAACACCAAAATCGAGATATATCTTGCTGCATTGTGTGAATACCCTTCTAATTATATAAAAAGCATAAGATGTATTAGAATATGAAAATTAAAAAAAAAAACTATTAAAATAAAAAAAATAGAATTACTCACAAGTGCCTTGAAGGTGAGCATTGATACATTGGGAACTTTCTGCATCTTCTTCCTTCCAAGAGGGATGACTGTTTGAAGCATACATACCATTGAAACCCATTGGTTTCTATTTACTGAATCCCCAACAAAAAGTACCCTTTTACCCCTCAACCTCTCCAGAACTTCTTTTGAATCAAACCTACACATATAATCATTAATCACCAAACAAATCACTAAAGATGTTATCGTAAATAATCAATGATTATCAATAAACCATAATGCAAACTGACCCAATGCATAAACGAGATCTAAGAAATTGTATATTGTTGTCTAATCAAATATACCGATCCACAAACGTCAATTAAAACAATTATAAACATATATACGATTATTATCAAAGGGATATGTAAATTGAGATTTAATGTAGTTCCTCATCAGGTGATAGTGTATGTCCACAAGGAGATAAAGTGCAACATGTTACTTAAGGGGAATAACTACAACGTGTTTACAAAGATGCTTGGATCAACAAATCAGCTACCCAATGTTTCATAAAACGAAGTTACCGATTCTGGTAACCAAACAAAACAAAGAAAAATCATGTTTTAAGCTTGCCAAAAAAGAAACCAACGGATGGATCAGGTGGACCGGGCTACTTCCGGCATGACCTAAGTCGCCCGTATGTGGATGTGAGGGCACGGGTCATGTGTGTTGTGCGGCCAACACAAGGCTTCATGAAAGCCGAGACGTGGCTCGTGCCACATAGAAGTCGCCTTAGAAGGCCGCCCGACACCCAACTCTCGTCTTCATTCAAACCTAGTGCGACATGGTTTAGGGCCAAACAACTTAGGCCGGCCAAAACATTGCCCAAACTCCTATTTGAGCTCGTGCATGATTACTTGTACTCTTTGCTTGGATATTTGAACATCTATAAAACCATGTATTTTTCAACAATTTCTATTTCCGGATGTAGCAAAAAATACGATATATTTTATTTTTAGGCAACTTTCTTGATAATCAAGATTTAGGAGGTGCTTTGTTGAGGGTAATAAGCGACAAAGACTGCAAATAATTAATGATTTATGATTTAATACAACGATAATAAGTCAATACCAGATATTGAATAATAAGACATTCATCAACAAACTAGGGAGTCGGGAATGAAATTCAGAATCATTATCATTCTTAATTTCATTGGAAGAATCAAAAGCCTACTAACAAGCTGTTAATTTAGCATTTACTGTCTCTAACCGGGTAACTAAGTACTTAGCGAGCGTTTGGTTTGAGGAATGGTTTTGAGGGAACTAGATTTCGTGGAGGGATTTGGAATCTTTGGTGTGTTTAGTTTGTAAGATTTGGCGATGGAATTGAATTCCATTTTTTATAAATAATTTATAAAAATAATGTTTTTTTAATAATTGATTATTATAACACAAATGTTTTCAACATATTTTAAAAATCATTACTTACAAATCTCACGAAATCCAACAAAATACCAACAATCCTCATGGGATTTCTAAATCCCTTGTTTGTGGGATTTTCAATGAAATTCCGGGATTTCAAATACAAGCAATCCTTCAAACCAAACAAGAGATTGGACTGAAATTGAATTCTAAATCCTATCCAATCCTACAAACTAAATGAGACCTTATTGTCTCTTGCCAGGTAAGAGACACTTATCCGGTCAGAAATAATGGTTTTTACAAACAATTTTACTGTTATTTTACTTATTGAGAATCTTACCCAATTAGCTATTACCGAAAAATATAATTCTGTTAGTGATCTAATTACCATTAAATATAAATAACAATAATAATAAATTATAAATCAAATTTAAATGTTAAACGAAAAATCCACAGCCGCATGACACATCACTATTCACTACTACTATCATGTACCAAAGAAAGCCATGTGCACTTGATCCTAGGATATTGGTCACTTTCAAATTTTTTGTCTTAAAGTGTAAACCTTCTTTTATAGTGTGTGGATCATAAAATTAAAATAAAATAGGTATCAAAATTATATTTTTATGTGGGTTAGATGATCTTATACAACTAAAGTTACTAAAAAGGTAAAATATTTTATAGTAATATAATACATTCAAAAACCTTATATCCATGAAATCTTTTATTTTTTGCATTTTTAGTTCTATTATTGTTTCAACAATCCTATATTTTTAATACGTTGACCGATCAACTTGGTTAGGATGAATAACCAATTGATGTGGGGTTGTTGAATTATTTTACACGTTTTATTTAGAAGATATATGTGTAACATCTGTGTTTTTGGTTAATTGTTTAAGGGTTTAGACTTGTTTTAATGAGCCATTTGGTGTTTATCCATGATATGTGACATGTAAATCCAGGGGCATGGTCGAATTTGTGGTGAAGGAAAGTTGTCTTGGAACTCATTCAGGGTGTTATGGGACCTCCTATGCAAGCTTGGTAGCTTAGGAAGTCTAAAAGCATTTTGAAAACACAAAATAGGGTGTCAGGCGGGTTGTCAGGTGATATGGGTCGCCTCCCAAGCCGCTTAAGATACTAGAGAGTTTTTGTGCTCGACCTATTTTCCAAGCTACTTAAGTAGCCTAGAAAGCGCCTACGAACCCTGATGGGCTAAAACCCCATTTTGAGCTAGGGTTTTCCATTTCACTCCCCCTTCTTTATTTCTCTTCCATTGAAGGAGATTTTCACATTTTCGGATAATTTTTAAAGGTTTTTGAGGGCAAATGGAATTATTAAGTTAGAGATTGAAGATCTATGATTGGAGATGAAGATCTCAATTGTAGAGTTTTGGATTAAAGGGTTCAAGTTCTTGAAGAGGTAAGTTTCTTGAGTATTTTGAGCTCTATATTTGAGGGATCTTTGTGGATTTGAAGTTTGTGTCAACATATGGTACTATTTCTAGATTTGGGTTGTTGCCTAAAGAAGATTTCTAGAGATCCTTGCTCATGGATTCAAGTCTTCATCTTTTGGAAGCTAGAGATGAGTTTTAAAATAGGTTTAACCGAACCTAACAAAGTGTGTTTCAAGTTGATTTGTGAAACTTTGTACATGCCAAAAATATGTTTTTTGGAGTCTTAAAGTGTTACCTTAAGATTTATCAAATGTTGTTGATTACTTACTTGTGGAAGAGCTTATTGGCTTCGATTTAGGATAACTTACTCGTTTTGGGATTTTGCCAAGCCCGTCTCTTGGCCTGTTAAATATAAGATTTAGAACAGGGCCCCCACAATATTGGGGCCTAACTTCACACTCGTTTGGGTTTGGGAACAAACACATCATTTCTACAACCACAACGTCTTCTCCAATCAGGAAAAAACCATCTCTCTATATGCAAGCCATCGAAAAAATTGAAGTGAGCGACTGCTTGCAATTGTCGACAACCTCCCACAAGGTAGAGATCTAACCGACGCTCATGATTTGTTCAGTTAGCTCAAGAAACTGAGTCGTTACTCGAAGGCACATATCATATTTTGGTTATTGTTGATGTCCCTGTTGCCGGTGACAAGCAAACTAAAAATCAAAATTGGTATGCAATCCTCTAACTAGAAAGCCAACAAAACGATGATGACAATCTCATTAAACGACGGTATTGTCGGCTGCACTCCTTCTTCATCCTGATAAGAACAAGTATGATTTTGTCGATACGACGTTCAAGCTCATTGCTGATGCTTGGGTTGTGTTGTCTGATCCTTCGAGGAAAACTGCTTATGACAATGAATTGTTTGTGTTTTCGAAGGTTGATCTAGTCGCACTGAAGAAAGAGAGAGATAAAGAGGACGAGAATCGATCAATTTCACGTGATAAGATTCCGGTGAGACGTGCCAACGGTGGAGCTTCGACGCATATATGGGCGGCGTGTCCTTACTATTATAATCGATACGTGTACCCTAGGGTTTACGACGGATATTGTTTGAGGTGTGCAAATTGTCCACGGGTGTTTGACTATAATAGTAGTACGTGGAAACAGGTGTAACAGGGCCTCCAAAAAAATTAGGACAACCCTGGATTTTGCTCAACCTTTGAGTTAGTGATGATGATTTTCAAATCTTTTGTAACTTATTGCTTTATGTTGACTTTAATTGTATAGTCATATGAGTTGTGGAGTTTATTAGTTGATTTCAACTCAAATGAGTTTTAGGGACATTTATCCCGTTTAAATTGCTCTATGTTGAGCTTTGGACGTGATATGCATTTATGACATATTTATTTGAAAATTACATATTTTGAGTACATTGGTTATTCAATTTGAGTAATGTAATTTAGACTGTAATGCAACAAATCTGTAGGCATAGGAGTCAGTTTTTGTTGGTTTAAAAATGGGACGGTTATTCCCGTATTGTTGCTAGAAATAAGCATTGGGTCATAAGGGGCATTATGGTGCGGGCTCTTGGATTCAGACATCAGTCATTGACCATAGATGTAATTTCTGAGTTGGTTTGATGATTTAAAATGAGATGGTTATTTTTGTATTGTAGTTAGAAATAGGTATTAGTTCATCGGGAGCATTGTGGTGCACATGATAACTCTCATTTTGAGGGTTATTTACATTGCGTTAATATGTATTTTTATTCCCTTTTAGTGTGTGTTTTACCTTTTATGTGTCTATGTTTCCCCTTTTTATTTATTTATTTTCATTTAGAGTTGTTAAGGATAAAAATTTGTATTTGATTGTTGTACATGTCGAAAAATAACTAAAAAATTGTCATAGTGGCGAATCACCACTGTGACAAGCAGTAGCTATAGCTACAAAAAAAAGTCCTTATTGGAGATTTATTGTCAAATATGTAATAGAGGAATGTAGGTTTCAGCTGTGTCAATGCTAGAGCTTTCATAAAAGTGATGAGAAAGAAGACAAAAGAGATGAAGATTAACTAGAGGAAGAAGACACCATTAGATCTTTGATCCAGAGATGGATGGATCAGAAATACGGCTTGAATGATACAAGGTGGTTTGAGAAAATCTTCAATAATCGGATAGAGATATGAGTTTTTGCATAACCAGACTAAGGTTCAGATGTCGGTTGAGTTGGTATGTCATAGAGATATGTGCATCTCTCCATACTGACAGAACTATGATATGCAAGATCTACTTAGTACGGTTGGCAAATCGAAAGTTAGGATTTGTGGAAAATTTATGAGAAAACCATAATCGCGACCCATACGATGTAGCTTCGAGAGGAGGAATCGAATGGGATTATTTTGTGACTGGTCTTATCAACCATTTAAGTTACTATTATACTTTCGGATAAAATTTACACCTATACCCACAATTGTTATTTTTAAGATATCAGTATTTTACCCAAAACAAATCATTTTTATAAACTCTAACTTTGCACCACTAATGAAAACCAAACTAAGTTGGGTTGCTATCCTAAACAATTTATGTTATGGTTTGTAACATACATTACAATATAATTTCTAACCTAATCAAATTGATGAATCATTTTTGAGAATCATGTTGTCTATGGTTATACATGTTAAATTCTCATTATTTCTCCACTTATCTTTTTGCACCATGAATATAAAGATGACGGTTTGTATTTATTGTATTGTCATATAGATTATATTTTGCGTCCTTTTAATATTCGTTAATAAATTAATGTTAAAGTTATTAAAAAAAGGAATATAATGTAAAATTTATAATTTAATAAACAAAATGTTATATTAATATTAATTAACAAGCAGACAATTTGGATTTTTTTATATCTAAAATCCCATTTAATAAATTATTGATCCATTTTTTTTATAAATATAGGTTTGTTTGGCAAACTAGCTGATAAGTTATTTGTCACTGATAAGCTACCTATTAGCTGATAAGCTAGCTAATGAACTAATAAGTTTGACAAAAATTAGCTGATAAGCTAATTAAAAAATGTAAAATGACCAAAAATAACATGTTTAAAAACTAAATTTTTTTAATAATATATTGAAAATAATTCACTAATAATATAATATGTTAGTTAATACAAACCAGATGGTATAGAAGATTAAATAATAA